AAATGAACCCACAGACCTATAGCCACCTAATCTTTGATAAGGGAGCTAAAAAAAATAGAATGGAAGAAAGACAGCCTCTTCAGTAAATGGTGCTGCCCAAATTGGTAATTCACCTGTAGAAAACTAAAGCTAAATCCTTATATATCACCCTGCACCATAATCAACTCCAAATGGATCAAACACCTCGAAGTCAAAGCAGACACCCTGAAAACATTACAGGAAGGAATAGGAGAAACCCTAGGTCTCCTTGGCACAGGCCAAAATTTTCTTAATAGAGACCCACAAACACAACAAATTAAAGAAAGGTTAGACAAATGGGATTGCATGAAGCTGCAGAGCTTCTGCATGGCAAAGGACATAGCCAGTAAGATCAATAGAAAACCCACAGATTGGGAGAAGATTTTAACTAGCCATACAACGGACCAGGGTCTCATATCTATTATATACTTGGAACTCAAAAAATTAAATCTCCAACAACAAATCCTCAAAGAAACAACTGCCCAATAAATAAGTGGGCTAAAGACTTAAAAAGAAACTTCTCTGAAGAGGAAATAAGAATGGCAATAGACACATGAAGAAATGCTCAACCTCCCTAGCCATAAAAGAAATGCAAATCATGGGGCTGGGAAGGTGGCTCAGTGGTAGAGCGCTTGCCTTGCATGCCTGAGGCCCTGGGTTCAATTCCTCAGCACCACATAAGCAAAAAGAAAAAAGCCGGAAGTGGTGCTGTGGCTCAAATGGTAGAGCACTAGCCTTGTGCTGAAGAGCTGAGGGACAGCGCCCAGGCCCAGAGTTCATGCCCCACAACCGAACCCAAAAAAAAAAAAGAAGAAGAAGAAGAAAAGAAAAAGAAATGCTAATCAAAACAACACTGAGATTCTACCTCATCCCAGTTAGAATGGCTAGAATCAAGAACTCTAATAACAGATGCTGGAGGGCATGTGGCCAGAAGAGAACCCTACTGCATTGTTGATGGGAGTGTAAACTTATTCGGCCACTTTGGAAAGCAGTATGGAGGTTCCTCAAAAGACTCCACACAGAGTTCCCCTATGACCCAGCAATCCCACTTTTGGGCATTTACCCAAACAATCAATAGTCAGTCAACTTTTATTTTCAAGGTATTCTTGCAGTGCTCTGTTCAGCTTAATGAAGGGAGCTAAAATGGATTACAAATTCTCTACAAAAAAAAAAAAAATGTAAATTTATTACAGCTCTACAAGGTGCTTTGGTGAAACACATTCCAGGTCTATGTTCCTTGGATATTGTCTATCAAGGAAAGGTTCAAAATTTAACTCCACAAAGGGCCTGGAGGCCCATGGATTTACCAATCTGTCATTTTTCTCTGTATCACTAATAACTGTAACAAACACATATCAATAGTTTGTACTCCTAAAGTGTTTCTGTTGATCTGCATTGTTAGTTTCTCATTTACTAATATTAATATCTCTTTAAAGTTTGAAACTGGCTGGGCACCGATGGCTCATGCCTATAATCCTAGCTACTCATAAGACTGAGATTTGAGGATCACAGTTCAAAGCCATCCTGGGGAAGGAAAGGCTGTGAAACTCTTATCTTCAATTAACCACCAGAAAACCATAACTGGCACTGTGGTTAAAGTGGTAGAGCACTTACCTTGAGCTGAAGAGCTCAGGGAGAGTGCCCAAGGCCAGAGTTCAAACCCCCTGACAAAAAAAAAAAAAAAAAAAGAAAGAAACTGAAACTGTCTATTGTTCTAAGAAAATTAATACTACTGCTATCAACACAGAGAGAGAGAGAGAGAGAGAGAGAGAGAGAAATATATTAACAATCCCACAGCTCTAAAACCAAGCATGCTTAGTTTTCTAAAGCCCATAAAAATCTCAACATCTGACCAATTTTGTTTTTACAGGAACAGGGCTATTACACTGGAAAATATGCATAAAAATGTGCAGCATTCAGAAGCACTGAACAGCTTTATTTCACATTTGTTTCCTATGTAGGAAGCACGCATTCCTATATCCTATGCACATGATAGCACCTGCTGCTATAACTCTATGCTCAGTCAGCTCCCAACCTTCCCATTTTAGAAAGGCTTCATATGAGCCTTTCTTGAACTGCTGTAGAAATGCTGCCATCTCCTGTTCATTGTATAAAATACAATGAAATTACCCCCTAAGAAGAATGAAACAAAATTTAAAAAATTTTTTTTCAAAATGACAGTCCTATGAGTTTTGTTTTAAATTTCGTATTTTTAATTATAATTATTTTGAGAGAATTTGTGGTTTATTTGAACATTAAATTGGTAGATTTGAGTTTTTGAATATTTTTGGTATTATCAAAATTTCAATCACCTATAAACATAAAGCATTAAAAATTAAAATCATGCAGAGAAGATAGCTAGCTCACGCCTATAATCTTAGCTATTCAGGAAGCTGAGATTTGAGATTCTTATTCAAAGACAACCCAGGCAGGAAACTCTGTGAGACGCTTGTCTCCAAATAAATACCAAAAAAGCTGGAAGTAGAGCTGTGGCTCAAGTGGTAGAGCACTAGCCTTGAGCAAAGAAGTTCAGGGACAGCTCCCAGGCCCCGAGCTGAAGGCCCAGGCTAAGCACAAAAAAATTAATAATTGTTAGTTATATTGGTTTGTAAGATTAAGATATTCTTAAGAAATAATTGTCTCTTTAACGATTCTAACTCTATAAACACCAACGTTAAGACTGAAGATCAAGGAAAATCTAACAACTGCACAAGTAGAAATTGGTGTCTTACCAAAGCAGATACAAAAAATAATAATGTTTCAACTATTCAAAATAGTTTTATTCAATAAATCACTCTTTCCTGGACAAACAGCTTCCCTGACTTCCTTTGTCATTAAATGTCTGACTGGCTATCTGTTGTGGACCTCTGTTCTGGAGATTTCACTGCTCAGAACACCTGCTGTGATCTGGATAATATCAGAGAGTACCACCCAGAAAACTTCAATGGACAGTACAGCGAATGGATAGCCCAGGAAAGATTGTGTTTCTACACTTACCTTTTGTATGAACGTTCTTTCAAATCTGTGCCTACCTTTTGTGGAAACAAAATGAATTATCAGCTTATTTATAGGGCTCATTCTTGGTATTCTTAACCAACATACACACAATCAACTGATGAAACATAAATGCCTACTATTATAATTTTCAATAAAATGACAAATACTATAATCAGTTTACTCACTGGTTCCCAGACTTCTTGAAGTCTTTCCTGACATCTGGGGCTCTATCTTCTCTAGTGAAAATTAATAGAATCAATTTCCATCACTTTTTCCATCTAGATTTTTTTCTCCCATCAGGCCTCTTCCTTCTTAAAGAGTGATTGTAACTGCAGGTAGAAATCATAAGAAGAAAATATTGTCATATTAGGCCCAAGTTCTTTCTAGACAATAGAGACCATCTCCAGAAACATCAGAAGAAATAAAGTTACATAATTATTTCTAGAAATAACAGCCAATAATGAAGGCAAGATGGCTATTCTCAGGTTGGGCTCAATGGTAGAGTGCTTGTCTTGTATGCATGAGGCCCAGGGTTCTATTACTCAGCACCACATAAGCACAAAAAGCTGAAAGTGGTACTGTGGCTCAAGTGGTAGACCCCTAGCCTTGAGCTGAGGAGCTCAGGGACAGCGTCCAGGCCCAGAGTTCAGGCACCACAAGGGACCAAAACAACAACAACAATAACAACAACAACAACAACAAAACAGATGGCTATTCTCAAAAAATAATTGACCAAAATTGCTATTTATACTTGCTTTAGGTGACAGTACTAAAGAATATCACATATCATTTTGAAACATAGTATAATAGTTTGCTTTAACTGTTTGAAATGTGTATCATATATCAATAAGCTAACTTTGAAGGGTGATTATAAAGCATATGATTAGAATCATATTATATATGCTTTTATTATCATACAGTGATTAGTCTTAAATAAAAACTATGATAACATGAGTAGTTTCCTTATAGTTTCTTCAAAACACTAAAACCGAACATGAAGCAAGTTAGGAGTTCCTTACATAGCAAAGTAAGTAAAAGACATGTCCTTTTTTTGATACATTTATACTTCAGTCTTCTTATCAAGACCATGACAGCAATCAAAAAAAAAAAAATCATGCAATTCCAGAATCGCAGACAAAGAAAAATAGGGATACAGGTGGACTCATTGCAACAATGAGATGTACAAGTCTTTATGTCAAAAACGAACTTTACAACATTGGTGGAGGGGGAGGATTGGGTGGGGGAGCAGGGGGAGGATAGGAAGGGATGGGAAGGGGAAACAAAGGAGGAGGCTACAATGCTTGATAAGAAATGTATTCATTATCTTGCCCATGTAATTGTAACCCCTCTGTACAGTATTTTCACAATAAAAAAAAAAACATGTAAAAAAAAAAAAAGGATAGTTTATAGGATTTCCCACTGAACTTCACAGGACTTGTTTTATTTATAAGTTCAAAGAATTTTTTTTTACCCTTTTCCAACTTAGGTAAAGCAATATACATATCAAATGAACTGTTTTCCTTAAATGCTTGGATTTCCTTAAATGCTTGTTTTGTAAATTTGGTTGACAAATAAATTGTGAGCTGTAAAAATGGTGAAGGACTAGCCCTGAGCAAAAAGCTCAGGGACAGTGTCCAAATACTGGGTCAAGCTCTGTGACTACAAAATTTAAAATTAAAATTAAATGCCATTTCAGTTGAGATTGTGATCACCAGGGGAAAAAACTAATGGAGTTCACCAAATAAAATAAAAGTAGAATTAGTCAGATAATAATAATTTACTTATTCTTTTTTTTCAACCTATGGTTTATAGCATCTAGTGACGGGTGACCTAAAATAAAAGGTGAATGCCGGCATGTTTTTTTGATCTAAGAAAAACATCTGTGGAGTAAAATAAGAAAATAACATTTTCATACTAATTTAGAATAACCTGTTGAGCACTGGTGGCTCACACCTGTAATCCTAGGTAGTCAGGAAGCTGAGATCTGAGAATCATGGTTCAAACAGCCCAGGTAGGAAAATCCATGAGATTCTTATCTCCAATAAAACAGCCAGAAGTGGAGCTCAAGTGCTAGGTTGCTAGTCTGGAGAAAAAAAAACAAAAAAACAAGCTTAATGATAGTTCCTAAATCCTGAATTCAAGCCCAATACACACACACACACACCACAGCTAATTTATAATAACCTGAGCTCTTCTCTCTTCTCTTTCCTCTTCCTACCTTCCTTCCCTTATACCACCACACACACACACACACACACACACACACACACACACACACACACACACACACACACACACACACACACTTTGCTCCTTCATCTGCCATTCTCTGCCTCTCTTCTCCCTCACAGGAATATTGCTTGCTTTTAAAAATGTTACAGTCACTAAAATAAACCCTAAGTAATTTAAAATTGTCATTATGTTAGTGGATACTGCATTCATTGGACAGGAAGTATCCAGTTCATTCAAAGTCCTGCTTGTTGACCATTGCTAACAGAAAAGCAACAGTTTAATCATTACACATTTTCCAAAAATGTCTCATGTATTACCTATTGGATTTTTACTACACTCCAATTGAACAGTTTCAAACCGTGATTGAATGTTAGTTTCACTGCTATCTGTCCTGTGTTGTCACCCAACATATCCAAACCAGATGGCAGTATGCAAAAACCCGAGATGTATTGAATCAGTGGCTTCACAAGGCAGCACTGGACAGCAGTAAAGGCAGTGATAAGGTTGTACCTTATGCCTGGACCAAGTTATTTAAAAATCTAAAAGAGTTAATTCAAATCCTGTCCTCTGCACACAAGGCTCTGAATTATGCTTTTGTTCCTTATACTGTTTTCATGTTATCACTTCTATTTATTTTAGAATACAATTTTCTAATTACTACATGACAGAAATTTAGAATATTTTGAACTGATAAAATTTTTTAAAATGTAGCTGGTGGAGGGAGAAAAGTCTTTAATTCCTTCTTTAAAAATATCTGTGTATTCCCTTCTGAAATAATAGCATAACTGCAACTCTTACTAGTCCAAGAGTGGTAAATACCTCCCAGAGAGACACAACATGTACCCATTTAGCAAAACCTCTGCTGACACTGGAATTTACCAAGTTTATCCAACATCAAATATAAAAGAGAAAACAGGATTTTAATTTGTACCATTTTGTATGTTAATATTTTACTTTCCCCTTATGAATATCATATGTATTTATTTTTATGTGCATTTTGCTCCATTTAACCTGATGGCAGCACTGTGAACTATCACAGCCCTTTCACTCTGTATTTCCCTAACAAGCCAACCAGGTACAAATGGTTTTTATATCCATTTGTAAATTTTAGTGAGTGGTGATTTTCTTGAGAGAAGGAAAATAAAAAGACAAACACTACATTTGTGTAATGTTTAATTTACATCACTTGTACAATCCTGTGTTGTTAGCATATGTCTCAATAAATAGGCTTCAAAAAGAAATTATTGCAGTGTAAAAATAGTTTCCCTGAATTCAAATGCTTTTTACTATTCCCAGGTCTCAAAATAGCTTTTAAAATTATTTTTTCAGACTTTTAGAGCCATGTACCTCATATTGTGATAGGATATGTTTCTCTGCCCTGATCCCTGGAGTAGAATTGGAGTGAAGAGAAGTTGAGACAGCTTGGCACCTTATTAGTCTGAAAGAGGCCTAACCTGATTCACCTTTGTTGCCAGAGAAAAGAATGTGAGAAAGTAAGGGTCAAAAAAAAAAAAAAAAACCAGCAGGGGCCAGGCGCCAGTGGCTCATGCCTATAATCCTAGCACTTAGGAAGCTAACATCTGAGGAACACGGTTCTAAGCCAGTTCCAGTAGGAAAGTTTGTGAGACTCTTATATCCAAATAACCACCAAAAAGCTGGAAGTAGAGTTATGACTCAAGTGGTAGAACACTAGCCTCAAGCACAAAAGCTCAAGGGACAGGACAGGCCTGAGTTTAAGCCCTAGAACAGTCACAAGAAAAAGGCTGGGGATATAAACCTTAGTGTAAAAGTGACAAAGAAATAAACTTGTAAACTCATCAAGCAAAATATACTGGAACACCTGCTATCCCAAGCACTGTTCTAGGCACAAGAGATATAGCAATAATACTCAGTGCTTCTATGAAAAAATTACAACCCTTGCTGTAGTATTCTCTAAACAATGCCCATTTCCCATAATGGGTCTTTTCTTGAACCTTTTGTTGTTCAGGCAACTTTAGCCTTAACTCAATACAATGAAAGAATAAAACCAACTTAAAAGACACAATCCACTCTTACCGATCACAATCCATTTCCTGCTTATATGTGAAATAATTGCAATACAACTAGGAATGTAGCTAGTTGAGTGGTAGAGCACTTGCCTAGCACATGGTTTGATCATCACCACAAAAAATAAAAACACATGACCGTGGTAACATGAGCTGTCAAGCTACCAAAGCACGTGCCAAACAAAATGCCACTCTCCACTGACTTCGCCATTTATGGATAGTGAGTTTTGCAATAAAGACTAAACCATTCAACCTGGAATTAAACCAGTCCTGGAATCAACCCCTAACACTCTTCCTTCTTGAAGACAAAGATTTAGAGAAAGGTATGATATTGTTTGTCACTAATCCCCACTAGGGGAGGCAAATATAGGAGGATCACTGTTCAAAGTCTGCCCAGAGAAAAAACACAAGACTGTACCTAACAACAAATTTTAAAAGACAAAAGATTTTTAAAAAAATTAAAAAAGAAGCACATGCCAGAGTTGTGGCTTGGGCATTCATTAAAAGCCAACATTTACATTTTTGTAATTTCTGATTTGTATTTCATATAGACATATTGCATAGAGCAAAATTGGTTTTGTTTTGTTGTTTTGGCTATACTGGAGTTTAAACTCTACTACTGAGCCATGCCTACAGAACAATTGATCAGTTGGTTTCTTAAAACTCTAATTGCTGTTAAGGTAACTTTATATTGTTAAGCTACTCAAAAATACAATTAAAATAGGCAACATTATACAAATTTTAAAATGTCGATGTCCTTTAAATTTTAATCATTTACTGGCAAGACTAATTAGACTTTTTTATTGTTAGTGTTTGTCAGTGTTGGAGACAGAATCTAGGGTCTTGTAGGCAAGCTTTCTACCAGTGAAATATAGATTTGACTCCTATTTAGGTCTATTTCAAGGTGGCAGTATTATTTTAGAAGTTTGACTAGTCTTTCCATTTCCTAACAAATGGGGCAATGTAATTCTTTCTGATGGAGGCATAGAATTCTATTGTGTATATATACCACATTTTTTTGATCCATTCATCTACTGAGGGGCATCTGGGTTGGTTCCATATCTTAGCCATGGTAAATAATGCAGCAATAGACTTAAGTGAAGTAAGCCAGGCCCAAAGAAACATAGATCCCATGGTTTCCCTTATTTGCAATAAGTAGTACATGTCTGAGACAAGCAGAAAAGGTCAGATAAGACGTTAGATGAAATGAACCCCAAGATAAGGACACAAGTGGTTTTTTTCTTGCTTGCTATTGTTTCTAACACATTTATAAGGTGATTTGTCACTTTGTATGTCCCTGTCCCACAGTATAACCCGTTCTCACTGTATTTGATGTTGGAATAATTTTGGGAGGGGAAGGGAAAAAACAAATTGTTTAAATAGGGATACAGGTTTACCCATTGCCACAATGAGATGTACAAGACACTATATGGAAAAATGAACTTTACAAATTTGGGGTGGGGGATGTAGTTGTGGAGATGGGAGGGCAGGGATGATAGGGGGAAAACAAAGGAGGAGGCAACAATGCTTGATACGAAATGTACTCATTACCTTGCTCATGAAATTGTAACCCCTCTATAAAAATCTTATTTAAAAAAGTTTTACTTCAACAGTAACATGATTATGTTGTTTTAAAAAACGCAACCAAAACTAGCAAACTAAAGTGCAACAATGCCCTCTATCCTCTTATCCTACAGCTAAAATTTCTTCAAAAGTGAAGGCTCTTCCTAAGAACTTTGAAAGTTAATACTTCATCTCATCTTTGTGTCATACTGCCCTCTGCTGGATATACATATGCATATACACATGTGGGTGCATGTGGGTGTGTGTAGACATATATCATATATATACAACTTTTTATATCCATTTCTTCTTTCCTTCTTTGTATGAATTTAGTCTTGTATTTGGCATAGTATTACACATGCTACATAAGCACTATACCTGTTGAGGCATGCCTCAGCTATTTGGTTTTGGGTTTGTTTTGGTTCCTACATGGAGTCTAATTGGATCTCCATTGGCCTTGAACTTCCATCTCTGCCTCCTTGAATAGCTGGGATTACAGGCAGGAACCACACCTGGCATTGAATTAAATTTTTTGTTTTTTTTAAGCACTGTATGTTTTGCAAAAGTAGTGGACACGTAGACAATGGTGCACAAAGTGTATCAATGGTGATACAATGGTGATACAAATTGTATCAATGATAAATTTAATTCTGCAAATGTACTACATCATGTCTAATAAAAGAAAAATGTCTTTAATCAGGATGGTGGTATATACCTTGAGCTTGGAAGCTGACTTTGGCTATCCAGTAAGACCTTGTCTTCAAAACATCCAAGTTTTCTTAGTATAAAAATAATGCATGTTGAAAAATAACATAAAAATAAACACATCCACATTTCCACAATCGTGAACCCGATTTTTGTCTTTCCTATTGCAGGCACTTTGTATTGCTTCTCCTTTGTTTTTTGAGAATGCTATCTTCATGTATATGTTGATACTGCTTTCAAAATATACACCATGCCTTATTACCGTAAACTTAGCTATTCAGGAAGCTGACGTCTGTGGATCAAGATTCAAGGCCAGTCCAGACATTTCTGTCCATGAGACTCCCAAAAAGACTGAAGTGGAGGTGTGACTCAAGTGGCAGAATGCAAGCCTTGAGAAAGCGCAAGGATATCCAGGACCTGGGTTCAAGCCCCAGGACCAGCACACACACTCAAAATTACAGGAGATGGGCACCACTGGGTCACTCATGCAATCCTACTACTCCGTATCACAGTTTGAAGGCAGACAAGGGAGTTTGAAGACAGGGCAGGGCAGGCCAGGAGACATCTCCAAAAACCCGCAAGAAGCTTGGAGATGTGGTTCGAGTGATGAGTACCAGCCAAGCAAGCAAGTTGACCATATTCAAACCTTTGTATTAAAAAAAATTAATATCTGCAATAAATATTTGCCTTGACAAACGTCCTCCCATAACATTTTTACAGCACCCTAATAGCCCAGCAGTATTCTATCTCATCATTCAACCAACAAAAGTGTTACTAATATCACTATGATACACACTTAAAACTATTCCTATTCTTTTCTAAAGTCAATGCCTAATAGTTTTCTTTCATCAAAAGGTGAAAAGTAATAGAATCTCATGACTTGCAAGGCCTCAGAGGGGTGCACTTTACAGGTTTCTTTTTTGTCAGTCATGGGGCTTGAACTCTGGGCCTGGGCGATGTCCCTCAGCTCTTCAGCTCAAGACCAGCGCTCTACCACTTGAGCTACAGCGCCACTTCCGGTTTTCTGGTGGTTTATTGGAGATAGGAGTCTCCCGGTCTCTCCTGCCCGGGCTGGCTTTGAACCGCGATCCTCAGATCTCAGCCTGAGTAGCTAGGATTACAGGTGTGAGCCATCAGCGCCCGGCTACTTTACAGGTTTTGAGTATCTCTGACATTATCTTTCCGAAAATGGAAATCAAATTAGCAATGTTATGATCAAAGAAATGAAAAATGCCCTTAACACGTTTTATATGAAAAGGGAAATTTTAAAACTCCCCCAATGTAGGTAACACAGCCTCTTCCTCTAAGCTTGCCCAAGCAAACTAGATTGTAATGCAACCTTAATTATATTAAAACAGAAAAACCTAACTCAAACATCTTGTAATGACAACAATTCAAATCTACAGGCGCTACTACAGTGAGACTGTAGTATGACAGTTGACTCATTTTTGCATTTGTCTCAACTCCAGTCCCTCTGAACTCTGTTGGTACTATCTTACAGAACCTAACACTCAGAATTCACTGAGCAGGCACTCCCATCACTTAAAATAACACCTCCAATTCTCCCTCTTTTGAAATGTAGACCTCCCTTAATCCCTATGCTTCAGTCACTGGAGAAAACTATGTCCTATCACTAACTCTATAGATGTGCCACCGCAGCCAGCTTCATGGCTAACTACTGTACTTTACCTAATGTGTTACTGCATCCAGCTTGAGTTTCATAGACTGCATGTATATTTTTGTGCTGCAATCCCAGTACTTCATCCATTTTAAGATTTTCAGTTTCTACTTCTGACTTTTCCATCCCTGGCACAAGGTACCAGCACAATGTTTATTACACTTCACCCAAGACTATCGAGAGAATGTGACCCTTCTGGCTTTCTCCCCACATCCATTAACTCATGCTGCCTTCTCACTTCACCTCGACAAGCACAGTGCAATGCCCATTTCAGCCACTCACCTCCCACCCTCTCCCCATGAAGTGGCCCCATTTTCCTTCCTTGGCCTCCCTACACTATGGGTTTCAGGGGTGTTTGCTATCAATTCTGCCTATGCTTTAAAGCTCAAAAATTCCAAGTTCTGCCAAAACCCATGGCTCTGGTCTCTAACCCTAAATACACGATACTGAGACATGAGGATCTTGAGCCAAAGTCAACTTGGGCAAAAAGTGGACAAGTGGAACTGTAACCAAATTGGTGGTGCCAGCCTTATATGAAAAACACAATGCCCTGAGTACTGGCACAGAAAATCAAATTCCATTTTAAAAGCTGACACTTAACAATCCAGTTAAGGCTGGTAAAATGGTGGCTTCAAACACATAGCAGCTTTAAACAGCCCTCGATGTTCTATGGCTCCTGATTATCATGTTAATTATGGTTTATATTGCCTTCAGTTGTAAAAAGGGGTTCCAATTCAACAGTATCAATTTATGTGTACAACTTATAGTGTTACCTCTTCCATACATTTTAATAAAATCAGCAACAGGCAAGACAAAGGAAATGGAAGACCAGAGGCTAAAGGCAATTATCAATTAAGGACTCCTCTTACTATTTGAATAAGCTTGTTCAAGCTTGAAAAGCACTGCTCAAGCTTACCACTCTCTTCATACTACTTAGTCCTTTAGTGTAAGACATATGGCTAACTTCTTTCCAGAGAACCAATTAAGTGCTTTCCATCTTTTAGCATCAGCCCATGCCAATCTCTGCCCTGGGATTCTAGTGTGCCAACACCCATTTCCTATCTCAGCCTACTAGATCTGAAGAATACCTAGCCAGCAATAAATGCCACTCCAAACACTTGGCAACCAAACACCTTAAGGCAGGTCTCTGACCATAGTTCCAATAGTTAACCAGTGGAATAAAGCAGGTCTCTTGCCCATGGTTACAATGCACAAGTTAACCGGTAGAATATTGCATTCATTTTGAAAAATCAAGTTCCTATTTCAGTTAATCCATTATTAGACTTTTCTCCAGATTGTTTTACAGCCCCAAATAACAAATCAGAGACAAAAAAAGTCAACTTTTTTTATTTGTTCATTTCTTGCATTTGAAGTACTCCTCGATGACATCCTTGGCCTGAGACTCTTTGCCATAGTCCTTCAAAAAAAGGTCACATGCAATATATTAATGTTTCGAAGCTGTATTTCAATTTTTAGCACTTTCTGTAATACAGTCTTACAGGTACTTAAATTTGTTGTAGCCATTCTCAGGGACCTTAATGACTTTGATTGTAATTAAGGCTCGTATCATGGCAGTATTATTGCCAGCTTCATCTAAATCTCTGCATATACACATTTGTTTAGATAAGCAGAGTCACTGACTGGCTTGCGTTAAGAGTATTTTTCTTCTAAGGAAATGCAGAATTTATGCTTACTAAAAACACTCTTCATTTTAAAATCCAATGCAACATGTATCGTTTAAATAGTGACTTACTTACCTTAACAACTACACAACTGCAACCAACCACTTTACGGGGTTTTCCCTCTCGATCAATTTTGCAGAGGCCTACCCACTCCCCTAGTTTTTTGTTATCATCGACCTGTAGGGGTTATTTACAAAAACAAAAAAGAGCATATTAGGTTAATAGACAATCACAGTACGAACAAATGAGTTAGATAACAAAGATAGCTGTGGTCAGAAGGGTGACATGGCAGTTTCCTCATAGCAATTCAGTAGAGGGAGCCAGTTGTCATCATGCACAGCAACAAACCAGTTAAGAACTTTCTAGGAAAACTAGTATTCATACATGTTTTATGTCAAGCACAAATGTATAACTACCTTCAACATAGTAGCCAGTGATGTATGGCCCAAGTAATGTATAAATCATATGCTTGGCTCTAAAATATACCTTGGTATGTAATCCTGGTATTACTGTGTAGCATTCACCTCTCTATATATAAGACACTGTATTAAGGCACTTCCCAACCCTTTTAGCAAATCTAATCAACTTACCTTAATAAGGTTGATTTGGTGCTCAGCACAAAGTGCCTCCACCAACTTGACATACATGGGCTCATTGCAGTTGGATGCAAGCACACAGAGGTGTGCTTGGCGCCTGCAACATAAAATGAGTGAAATAACAATTAGGCCAAAACTTGCAGGTACAAATACCCATTTCTCTACTAGTGTTTTTCATAATTGGCCACAATGGTCAAATATAATAAACATCTACTTATGTAACAGCTATAAAAATCTTTTTTAAGTCCACTTGAGTTCAATTATCTACAATGACTTAGTACCTATTTTCCATATATGAGTCTGTGTAGGGATATGCACAATTCTGTGTCCTACCAACAATAATTCCTTGACTTTCCTACACCTTCAAAGACTCTTAACTATGTTCACAAGATACATGTTTACCACTAAGCAGTAACTTACAACCCTGAAGATTACCAGGACCTGAACTAAACACTAGGAGTGCTATTCCTTAGATTTTCTGGCCAAATCACAGTGAAAAAACAGTGAATTGATGTAACAGAGAAGTCCTTATATTGCAAACTTAGCTGAATGTGTTAGAAAATACATTTCTGCCATTCATATTATCTGCCCCGAGTAACAGTAGAACAGGCTAAACGTTTACATGTCAAATAATTGTCCCTAGTAGCTATTTAGAAAATTCAGATAATGTACATCAGCTTAACACTTGATATTTTAAGTGCGAATCCCCACATATCCTCCAAGCAACGCTGATACTACAGGTTTGTCAGACTGTTGATTTTTCACCCATGAAAAAAGGTGAAGGGGTATCCGACAGTTTAAATCATCATTCAAACGCTGTAGTACTCGGCCTCTAAGAACCAACTGCCAAATCCCCAAGCTGAACAGCAACCCACGTTTACAGCCTCTCGCATTAGCCTAGGTGGGTCATAGAGATCTGAGTTTCGGGTACCTTTTCCTAGGTTTCCGGGTGAACGGATGTCATCCAGAACTTTTGTGCTAACATCATCAACTTCACGCTTTCTTCCCTTGGCTGCAGTTTTGTTCGGGCCGCACCAACCCAGAGTATTGAGACTGATACACGTACTTGTCTAGGGCTTTGGCGGCTTCGCGGATTCCACGTGCTAGGCCGTCGTGGATGAGGGCGGTCTTCAGCACCTCTTGTAAAGCAGTGTTGACGTCCATTACACCTCCAGCAGCAATGCTGCAACGCCAAGACACGCCGTCAGTCAGCGCTCCCCGTGCACCCGCGCGCGCCCCCGAGCCGCCGCGCGCCCCCGGCCGTGCCCACCCAGGCGGCAGCGGCGCCCGCCCCGGCCCGCCCCGGCCCGCGGCTCACCCTTCCTCGGCCATGGCGGTGGGTTACGGGGGAAGCCGAATCTTGAGCGCACTGTAACACCAGAGAGAAGAGACACTATTAATTCTGACTGATCACCGCACCACACGCGACGCGCGCTTCGGCCCAATACTCACCCCGAGCCTCCGCCTCCGCGCGGCTTGGCGGCGGCAGGGAAAGAGGCCGCCCGCGTCCGCCGGGCGATATTTAAGGGATCCGTAAGACCCCTACACGCATGTGCATTCCCTCCCACGGAAGAGGCTGGCTCTCTCAGTGCCGGGCCCTGAGACATTTCTGTTTCCGGTTTGAAAGGATTCGGGCACAAAAGTCCGTCATCCCCTGTGGGCGGCTTTGAGCGCTCGCAAACAGGCACGATACGGACAGTCTTCCCTGCCGGGGGCGTGGTCTGTGAAGGTCCCCGAGAGCGTCTCCTACGGAGCGCGAGAAGAACCAAAGCTTCCGGTCCGCGTGGGTGCTGCCCGCGGTTCGCGGGGCTCCCCGTCCATCCCTCGCGTCACCCGTGTTAACCCTTTCCACGACACTTCGCGGTTTCTTATTGGTTGCGCTCATTCGACTGTATCTTCTGGAGTGGCGTTGCTAACTCACGTGGAGGGGGTCATGTTCCAATCCCACTTTTCCGGTCAGTGGCGTGATACCGGAAGTCGGTTCAGCTCCTGGTACTGTAGCTTCCAGAAGGAGCCTTGTGGTTGCGAATTGCACCCGCAGTTCCGGGCCTCAAAGCTGGGTCCAGCCAGGTGCACCTGCAACCGAAGCCAGAAAAAAAAAGGAAGCTTAATGTTCATTCCTAGCTTTCCGACGCTTGGTTTCCGGGTGTTTGAGCCTGCTTCTCTCCTTTTTTTTTTTTTTTTTTTGTAGCTCAGACAAATGTCTTGCTTCTGCTTAAAAGGAAAGAAAAAAAAAAAAAGGTCTGGGTTTATTTGCATTTTCGAGATGAGATTAAGATTTGAATGGAAGAGCTGTGTACCTAAAATAGGATAACTCAAAATCCCATGGGCGATTTTAAAACACCCAACTGAGGCCTAGAAAGTTAGGGAGGTGTGACTGTTTGAAATGGTCTTGAAATAAGGAATTGCTAGAAGCAGGGATGAGTGTTGTAAAAGAAGAATGCGACCGGGCAAAACCCAAAGTGTCGCTGTGACTGCTTTGTGTATCTGAAGAGAGTAAGGCTTAAGTGGTAGGGCATTTATTTCCTAACGAAGTGGATGAGGCCCTGAGGTTGATACCAATAAGGCATGAGCAACAACGAAGTTGTCTGTTTGAGAACGTGTGGTAGGATTAATAGTATTTTAGTACTTTTCTCAGTATCTAGTGGTTAATATGCTAAGCATATTTGATTTTTTTTCCTCTAGAAATAAATTCTTCCAAAAGCAGGCAATTTGGTAAAGATATGGGAAGTGCAAGTGGGGAGAATCGTCACCAAATAAAACATTTATATCAAGGAAAGAAAATTAACTCTTCCTGGCTCTAGATTTTTGGGTTTTTTTTTTTTTTGTTTTTTTGTTTGTTTTCTTTTGTTTTGTTTTGTCCAGGGGCTTGAACTCAGAGCCTGGGCATTGTCCCTGAGCTTTTGCTCTAGGATAGCACTCTACCACTTGAGCCACAAGTGCCACTTCTGGCATTTTCTATGTGGTACTAAGGAATTGAACCTAGGGTTGCATGAATACCAGGCAAACAATCTATCACTAAGTCACATTTTCAGCCTACCCCACTCTAGATTAAAGTTCTGTCTTCTAGAAGCTCTGACATGAATCTGTTCTGTTGACATGAATAAATACTTCCGACATCTACCCTAAAATTCACCTAAATAAATATCCTTTCTATCAGCCACAAACTTCCTCCTTGCAAGTGGAGCTCTTTCCATTTCTTTTTTCTCTTTAATTTTTTATTTTTCCATTTTAGGTATTGGGATGGTAGGGAAAAAAATACAATGGCTCACACCTGTAACCCTACCTACTTAGAAGACTGATCTGTGGCTAGGAAGGTAGCTCAGTGACAGAGTGCTTGCCTTGCATGCATGAAGCCCTGGTTTTGATTCCTCAGCATACACATAAGCAGAAAAAGCTGGAAGTGGCGCTGTGGTTCAAGTGGTAGAGCACTAGCCTTGAGCTGTTTGTGCCCCGGCCCAGAGTTCAGGCCCATGGCCGACAAAAAAAAACTGTGATCTGAGGATCACTGTTCAAAGACAGGCTGCACAGGAAAGTCCATGAGACTTATTTCGAACTAACCACTAAAAAGCCAGAGGTGGGGTTGTAGCTCAAGTGCTAGAGTACTAGCCTTGAGAGAAAAAGAAGAAGAAAAAAACACTTAGAGATAGTGACCAGGCACTGAGTTCAAGCCCTAGGACCAGCACCAAAACAAAACTCACACAAACAGATTTTAACATTTACTTGTCTGAAATTGTACATAATATGTGGAGTTGTAATGTAGCTTAGGGGTAAGAGTACTTGACTACCATGCTAAAGGCTCTGGGTTTGATCCCCAACATTAAAACTTTAGTTACATGTAAAAAATAATAAAAAGCTTGAAATAGAGGTTTACTGTATCAAAAATAAGTTGGTAAAATTAAAACAAAAAAACATGAGGGCTGGGAATGCGGCTTAGTGGTAGTGTGCTTGCCTAGCATGCATGAAGCCCTGGGTTTGATTCCTCAGTACCACATAAACAGAAAATGCCAGAAGTGGCCTTGTGGCTCAACTGGCAGAGTGCTAGCCTTGAGCAAAAGAAGCTCAGGGACAGTGCTCAAGCCTGAGTTCAAGCCCCAGCACTGGCAAAATAATAACAACAATAAGAAGAAGAATATTGGCAGTTGTGTAGCTTATAAAATTGTTAGCCCTTTCATTGCAAAGCCCAGTTCATTAAGGAAAAATAAAGGTTGTGAAAGAATGGAACTAGATAATTGTGTAGCCAAATATGAAACCCATAGTAATAACTTACATATTTTAGGACTTTGTGTAATTGTCATGAAGTTTCATAAGTTTTGCTGATAGTAACTCAGCAAAATGAGCTCCCTTCCCATAGCTTAGTCCACTCCTTCCCTTCTCCACAGCATGCTTCCTTCCTAGGCAACACCAACTCGATGTAGTAAAGGCAGTAAATAATCAACTTCAATCCCCTTTACCTTTGGATGGCACTTCTCTGGGGCAGCTACTACCATGTAAGGCAACAAGAGCCCCTTAGAATGACCTTCAGGTCTGGGCAGCTGCAGGATGAGTTCTCTACTATTTGGATAGCAGCTATAAATCCTAGTCCAGGGGCTGGGAAGGTGGCTCAGTGGTAGAGTGCTTGCCTTGCATGCATGAGGCCCTGGGTTCGATTCCTCAGCACCACATAAGCAAAAAGAAAAAAGCTGGAAGTGGTGCTGTGGTTCAAGTGGTAGAGCGCTAGCCTTGAGCTCAAGAGCTGAGGGACAGCGCCTAGGCCCAGAGTTCAGGCCCCACGACCGGACCCAAAAAAAAAAAAACCCTAGTCCACCATGATAAAGCCCCTGGCCACATGTCCACACTGGGGGCTCCTCCTCATAGCCCCTCATAAACCTCCTAGGTTATACAGTCACCTCAGACAATAGCAGGGGCTTCTTCTCACCCCTTCCCTTATGAGAACGGGTCTTGCTGACCCCTTTTCCTGGCAGTAAACCTTTCTTTGTTCTCTGTACCTGGATGTCTGTGTGGTTGTCTGGCAAAGTCTAATCTTTCAGTAACCTTAAAAAAAAATCAGATACTGTTCTCCAAAGAAGAATGACTTGTATTTGCAAATAGCATAGCATTCCAAAGGGAATACACATAACCCAATAACCTAAGGGCATAGTCTTAACTAGTTGAGCCAAAGGGAAAATTGTAAATACAGAATGAAGATTATATCAGATGAATTGAAATAGTCATTTTCTTCAGTGATTAATGACAAGCAGTCTAAGGTTGAATAAAAAATTTCTGGGCATATGTCCTTGAAGAAGTACTTCTAATATAAGGCTGTGGTGACCTCTGTGTGAGTTTGTGGTTTCATAGTTTTGGTTGCTGCTGCTGCTGTTGTTCATGGGGCTTGAACTCAGGGCCTGGGTGCTGTCCCTGAGCTTTTCTGCCAAGGCCCAGTACTCTACCATTTTGAACCACAGCTCCACTTCCCAATGGTTAATTTGAAGTAACTGTCTTCAAGGACTTTTCTACTTGGGCCAGCTTTGAACAGTCATCCTCAGATGACTGATTATAGGCGTGAGTCACTGCCCAGTCCAATAGTCTATTTACTATCAGCCAATCAAGAGTAATAGCTTTTCTTACAAAACCCCTTGGCTTTATTTTTTTATTCAGGTTGACACAGACAACTCATTTTAGACCCTGACAACTTTTATATAAGGCACACACTAAAAAATGACATGTTTCTATTGCTTGTGATGCTACCCAGAACTATCCAAGTGTAGCTGCTCACTGCAGTGACAAATCAATTTATGAAAATGAAACATACTATGAAAGTTGTTTAGAAATAATATTTAGCATTCATTAATGAACTCAATAGAAATGATCTGACTTATAGTTTGCAACTGAAATTGAAAACAGTAGCCAAAAGAGCAAACCTTAAATTGACATAAAATTTATTCCCCTGGAATACAATGGGGACTTGAGTATATATACCTCCAGACCCAAAGCTGCTTCCTATAGAATACGGCTGTGACCTCTGTGACATATCTTTTAAAAATTAATTCAGAGGCATTAAAATGTATCTGATAACTGTAC